CGAAGAGTGATCTACTCCAAGTTTTGAAGCAAGAGTGGGCGAAAATTCCACAATCTAAAATTGACGAGATGATTCTCACGGTGCCCCAAAGGATCAACAAACTCCACGAAGCGAAAGGAAGATCTACTAGATATTAATTAAATTATAAATATATTAATTCATGTGAATATGACTGAAAAATTTCATTTTTTTCTGAAAAAGTGGTGTCTGTTTACTTGTGATCACGCTGTGTATTGCAAAGTTGTATTGAGAAAGAATAAACTAGTGTTACGACAGCGGAAGCCACGTGACGCTAGTAACACATCATGATATTCTAGAAGGATCATGTCTGTTCGTGGCAACTCTGGTCTTTTCTATGTGCCCTCAATTCTTGTATATAAGTGCGCCAGATAAAGCGAATTTAATTAATCGGAATAGAAGTGCAGACAGACAGAGACGGACAATTGAGTCAAGTCGTAAGTAAAGTGCGTGAATCGTTCGTTGTTAATTATAATGTATGTTTAAGTTAAAGAGACTGTGGAAATTAAGTGTATTGCAAAGTTGTATTGAGAAAGAATAAACTAGTTTTATTTAAGAAAGGACTTGTATCGCTAAAGTTTAATCCCAAAGAAATTATACGGGAAATTAACGAACGACCATAGACGTAACAATATAACTAATATCAAGGCAAAGAGCTTAATACAAACTGATTATTACTTATCATGAATATTTGCAGTTGTGATTGGTACATTAAATTAGCTCAGTTCTTTTTACAAGTAAAAATCTTCATATTTCTACAGCCATGTATAACTTTCGGATACAAAATAGTTCGGAATTTAAAACAAAAATATTGAAGTTGGTTTTTTTAAAGTGAAGGCCTTGTCACTTCCTGGTGACTTTATGGTATAGCTATGTGAAGGCCTTGTCACTCCCTGTTGACTTTATGGTATGGCTATGTGAAAGCCTTGTCATTTCCTGGTGACTTTATGGTATGGCTATGCGAAGGCCTTGTCACTTCCTAGTAACTTTATGGTATGACTGTGTGAAGGCCTTGTTGCTGCTGACTTTATTGTATGGTTATGTGAGGGACTTATAACTTCCAGTTGACTTTATTGTATGATTGTGTGAAGGCCTTGTTGGTGATGACTTTATGGTATGGCCATGTGAAGACCTTGTCACTTTCTGGTATGACTATCTGAAGGCCTTGTTACTTTATGGTGTCGCTAACGGAAAGCCTTCTCACTTTCTGGTGAGTTTATGGTATGGCTATGTGAAAGTCTTGTCACTTCCTGGTTACTGAATTTATAGCAATCTGAAAGCCTTGCCCTTTCCTTGAAACTTTATGGTACTTAAAATCCTTATAATTTATTTGTGACTTTATGGTATGACTATGTGAAGGCCTAACGCTTCTTATTTAATTTATTGTATGGCTATGTGAATCCCCTGTCACTCCTTGTGACATTATGGTATGGCTATGTGAAGGCCTTGTTACTTCCTTGTGACTTTATGGTATGGCTATGTGAAAGTCTTGTCATTTCCTGGTGACTATATGGAAACGCTATGTGAAAGTCTTGTCACTTCCTGGTGACTTTATGGCATGGCTATGTGAAGGCCTTGTCATTTCCTGGTGACTTTATGGTATGGCTATATGAAGGCATTGTCGCTTCCATTGTGACTTTATGGTATGGTTATGTGAGGGCCTTAATGTGAAGGCTTTGTCGCTTCCTGATGACTATATGGTATGGCTGTACGAAGGCTTTTTTCGCTTCCAGATGACTTTATGGTATAGCTATTGTCAGAACAGAGGATTGCAGGATTCGTGATTCAGTGTGGGAAAACGATATCTCAAAATATTTTCCCCATTCTTGCTAACGTTAATGAATTTCATTAAATATTACTTGCAGTAGTTTTAAAGACATACGTGATAATTTGCCTTGATTCTTTGCATGGGAATCCTGAAAAACGTTTCAATGCAATTTTATCGTTCTTGGCTTTGTTGTATCCAAAAATATAAGAATGGACACTGTTTTAACTTAAGGACATCCAACCTGAGCCAAATTCTTACGATTGTGGATTATCTGTATTCTCCAGTTGGATAGTCTACAAAAATGGCATTGAAATATACAAACAAGAACATTCTAAATCTATCAGATGACTTTAAACCCACCCGTGATAGTTCCCACCAAAAAAAAGGTAAACATCAAACACATACCACTGAAAGTTTCTCAGTCTTCACACGGTGGAAGAAGTAACACTAACAAGAACAGAAAGGTTCTACAGTAAACCTTCTAGAAGAAGAGTGGTGTTTTATGAAGGAGAGACTTTAAAAATACTTCCAATATTTTTATGTTCTTAACACAGAAATGTTTAGTGACCGAACATTCTACACGGCTGTAGTAGTATGGATATTCTTTACTTGTCCAAACAAATTGGCTGGTTTTAAATAAAATTGTATCAAATAAAAATATTTTATTGAAAATGTTATAACTAACCATCAAACTTTATAAACGAATTTTAAGAGCATTTTTGGATTTATATTAAATTGTTTACCTTGATAGCTATTTCTATGAGAATATTTTATTTTGCAGTTATATTACACGGTAGAAGTACTAATTTAATTACCGTGTAATATAACTATAAAACATATCTGTTCACAGAAGTACTAATTTAATCACCGTGTAATATAACTATAAAACATATCTGTTCACAGAAGTACTAATTTAATCGTGTACAGATATGTCTTATAGTTATATTACACGGTGATTAAATATTTACATCTGTGAACAGATATGGTTTATAGTTATATTACACGGTAATTAAATTTCTACTTCTGTGAACAGATATGGTTTGTACTTATTAGGTCGTCAAGAAATTAATGTCGCGTTTTAGAACACATTCATTAACCACCCAAAAACACGTACATCACAGTATAATAGTTAAATGAAACGCCTAAACGTCACGTTAGTGTAGCCTATATAATGTGTAAAGTTTAGTATACTCTAATCCCTTATAGTGATGGCGCACGTCGAGATACACATTCGGCATG